CTACAATCAATGTCATTAACATCAAAATGAAATTATGTATACTTATCACATTAATGCATACACCCCAATTTAGTGGGCAGATTTTTTGGAAAAAGGTGTGTTGTATGGGAAGAAATATGCAATAGATTAAAAGAGTGCCATCACATATACTTAGCTTCTGTGCACTGCAAACAGTCCTATTTCAGGATCAGGGTGTACAATACAATGTAATTAAAGCAAGGGTGACAGTCTGGCTTATAGTTAGCTACATATCTGGGATATGATTCTGGTTTCATGCAGGGTATCAGTCAAGAGTGCATCCACCAGTCAATAGTGACCAGTGTGAAACTGATCTAAGAACAGACTGTGTTCAAAGTCAGAAAGTCATCCAATTAAATAATGTTTCAAATAACAAGCTGGGACTAGTCTTCATACAGTCTGTATGGACTGCATAATGTAAGAGTCATGAGTACAATGAAAGCAGAGGTATTATAAGCAATAGAACAATTCACAAAATTGATTATGACTAAAATTTATACATTGTACTCCATATGCAAACAGAATGGACTTGTGTGTTTATATTTCACCTTGCATTTGCTCCATCATTCTAACTGGTAAAAATAAGTGATTGCTGTAAATGCTTTTCTTGGTGTTCAGGGACAAGGTAAACAGTAAACAGCTGGTATACTTACACTTTTGCCTTATTATAGTAAATGTAAGTAAGATGGTTCACATAAATTCATTTCCTGATCCATAAACAAAGTAGCAGGATGAACATTGCACATATTTATCATGTAGCCCATAAGCCAGGTGAGTACGGTGCTTTTGTGGCTTCCATCATTTTATGGCTCCTAAGGCAAGCTTATTATATCAAAAAATATAAGACGTGCTTATTCTCTGCTCATTTAATTCTATTAAGTTACATCTGTAGAGAATTTGATTCATATTATCTTCCTTGCCTTACTGCTTTTTAACTGCTGCTGCTTTTGGAAATACACAGCATTATCGCTGAAGAAGAGCCGGAACAGATAGTATAAATTGATATAGCTCCACTTAAGTCAGTGGAGATGCTGATGATGACTTATATTAGCTGGCCATATTGCTTACTCCTGCAAACGTTTCACAGTTCTAATCATGTAGCTAACAAATATAGGTTTCAGTTCCAGTAAAAAAAATAAATGCTATGAAGTCCTCACATGTTCCTATAAAACAAAAAATAAGACAAGAAAACCCTCCCCCTCCCAGCAAATCAACATCATTAGCAAAAAACCAGCACAGATAGTGATGTGTGTTTTGTCTCGGACTGAAAAGGTTCTCCTACAAAATCAGTCATCAGAATGCATTTCTCGTCATCACATCCTGGCACACGGTGGCAGACTAATATACATGACAGACTCCGTGTCACACGCAGTGGACACTTTTACACATGATGCTACGTCGCTGTAGCAACCTGCTATGGCAATGTAGCATCTGCGGGCAAAAACCATGACACTGTTGCTATATTGCTGTAGCAACGCTTTCCCTCAGTATAGCGCATTGCTATGGCAACATAGCAGCTAAAAATAACCATGCACCGCCAGCACAGCACAGTATGGGCTGCTACTGCGCTGTCATTTAGTACTTCCAAAAGAAAGTATTAAATGATGGCGCAGTAACAATGGTGCCGTAGGAACACATACACATGGGCCCAGTGTGTGCAAAATGATACAGTATTAGCAGAATGCAATATTTAAAGGAAAAATACCTTCATTCTGGATCAAATACTCACTGTCACTACGTATGATTGCCGTTGCTCAATTGAACATATGGTGATGTGGCAAAAGATCTGCAGTCCAATATGCATCCACAAAGCAAATATATTACCATACAGTGTTGGGAACTCAGAATATTGACTGACTTATTTTTGTGGCTCTGCCGTGTCATTACAACATTTGTTATTTTTTTCCTATCCTCTGTACATTTTAATGAAGGCAAGAATAATCTGTGTAGCTGGGCTGTGATCCTACAAAGCACTTGTGCACATGTTCAACTCAGCACATAAGTAATCCACTGATTCCAACTGGGCTAGTCAGAAGTTTAATGTTAGGTATGTACTTAAATGCTTTGGTGGATTAGAGCTTCACTGAACATAAAATGCTGCTGTGTCCTGCATTTTGGCTTATCTTGAATTTCTGTAATATGTAGGGGCTGCTCTGCAAACCCTTACTCGTGACAACCATCTCCTTGATACTAGAGGGACTACTTTTGTAAGGAGACTTACACCTTGTAAGGAGACTTACGGCTCCCACAAGATGACCACAAGCAACATCCATTTTCCAACCTCAGTCTAACTGCTATGCGAGTAGCCAGTCTCAATCCTGTCACTATGCAAATCATCTGTATATGGACTGCCACAAATGACAGCCAATGGTTTGGTAAAGTTGTACACAGAACTGTGGACAGTGCCTACCTGCACATGATCTGGTTCTAGCTGATGCTATTAATCTTTGGCATGTTAAAATCCTTCCAACTCAGTTCACTGGCTGGAAATGAGAGAGCATGTTTGGGGATCTGCTTGGCTCTTATACAAGTTATGGTCACATGCAGCTTCAGTCATCAGCTGCTCTTCCTTATTGACTGTAAGGACCATTTCTCAGTGCAATCAGACCTTCCACGACAATGGGGAGTCTCACATTGTCATGCCTGCTTTGGAACACGAGGCTTTTCATTCCCTGGTTTAGAGTATTTATGGAAAACTAAGTCCTGAAAATGAAAACCTGATTCATTTGGGGTTTGCCTTTGTCTTAAGCATTTAGCTGATCAAAAAGGCCCCAAAAAAGCTTGCTTCTTTGTCCATGTCAACTATGTCCTCATTACTGACAGAGGCAAAAATCTTGTCATTCCTTTTTAGTTGAAACACTCCTCCTTGGTATATGGAGTAAAGTCCATACTCTGCCTTTTTAGACCAGCAGCTACTTCTTGCACTTTTCAGAAGAAGGATGGGTTCTGGATAACTGGTCAGTTTGTAAACATACTGGACCATTTGTTTAGGGTTTCTGATTTGCTCCGATAAATGTGAGTCTGAATCCTCATCCTCTGGTTCACGGAATCGGAAGTAAGTTTGACAGTAGATGTAATAAAACCCTGTTTTGGGTATGATCAACTCCCCATTTCTCAGTTCCACATTGTAGAGAAAAGAATGGCCTTTCCTTGATGCTTCCCAAGAGTGTATTTTCTTCCCGTATCCTCTTCTGAATGAGGAATCTATTTGAAAAGAAACAGAAAAATACAGGGTTAAATAAAGCCCCAAAGACAGCAACAAACACTGTCCTTTGAAAAAGCAAGTCTGAGCACTAGGCCAGATCATGGTCCACATTGGCTTCTGATGGAATAGGATTGGGTACCAGGTTTTATCAAGAAGTTGCATAAATAACAGCTTGTAGGAATCTGTCGTGCTCATCTGTGTATTACATTTCTAACATGCTTATCATCATAGCATCTGGGATCTTGTACAGTAAATATTTTTCCAAGAAGATACAGCAAAGGAGAAAGAGATCAAGGAAGAGGGAACGGGGGTTGAGTGAACTCAGTGGTTTTTTGTTTTGTTTTTTTTAGCAAAATCGAGGAAATCTTTTTTTTCCTTCTTTTTTTAAATAAAAAGCTGTTTCCTATTTTCTGACCAGATGTTTCATAAAGTCCTTGACAACTAAAAAAACAGTGCGCTATAAGCATCATAGGCGACACGTAGGAGGAGCACAGGGGGCATGTTCCCCCCTGAGTTCGGCCACCGCTGAAGCTGCCGCCAGCTTCTGCGGGCAGTCATTGCTTGCACCCACCACCCCTCACTGCCGATGCGGCTGGTCCCTGCTCGCCACCCCTCCCCCCCGCCACTGACACTGCTGACGGCAGCAGTGGGCGGTCTCTGCTTGCCAGCAGTGGCTGTGGGCGGTCCTCGCTCGCCACCACCGACACTGGCAGGAGGTCCTCTCCACCATGGTGCCCTCCCCAGTTGTGGGACGCACCAGTTGTTCATGATAAGCATCAACTTGGTTTTATTCTTTTCTGGAAAACCACAAAGCACATAAAGTCCATGATATTTCTCCATTTTAAAATATTTACTTCCTTTTCCAATGTAGCAAAATGTCTTACTTTGTGTGAATGATGAACTCATCCTATTGCTGTTTCCAGTTATGTGAGCTGCTACTCTGTGCACGGAAGTCTGAGATTCCTGATCTTCAGTTGTTGAAAGGCTTAGCGAAGTTTCAGCTGCATGAATAAAGACCACAGTATTTAATCTCAAATTAGAATAAAAGAAATAATAAAGACATTTATTATTTCTGTAAATATAAATGTCTGTCAAATTGGACAGCATTTTGAAGATACTTTTGTCAATTTTTTTTAATTGAACATGAGGTCAGTAATAGACTCAACTTTAACGGGTGGTCAGGTCAAAAAGTTGCCCCTAACGTCTCTCCATATTCCCTTTGAAATGTCTTTAAAGGTCTTTTAGATTATGTTTGTTAGCTTGGAACATTTGTTAGCTAGTACCAACAGGCCAGACCCCACTGATAACTTTCTAACAAAAAACTGTGGCTCATAAAGTCCAGTGCTATAAGAATAATTCTGTACTCTTTACTTAAACAACATTTCCACTGATTTCTGAGGCCAGAATGCTCTTTAATGGTCCTTCCTTGGGCTAAACAACTGCACCAGCTTCAAAGCAGAGCTATGCTTAGCTTTTGATTAAAGTAGCTCACTGAGAGTGGAAGTGCTATTTGTTTTCTGAAGCAGAGAACTTGAATGTATTGAATAGCACTGGAGTGAGCAATATAATCTGGGATTTCTTCCTGACTTCTGGCCCAATGCTTTACTTGACACAGTTTGTGACCATAAAGCCCATCTTAAAATGTCAGCAAATGCTAACAGGTATCCATTTATCATGCTTTGCCATGGACAAACTATGACTGGGCAAGAAATCAGGAAACATTTTCTAAATCTGGAATGTACATGTGCCACCCCTGTCCGTATACTACCAACACAACTTGTTTTTTATAGGGTAAGGAAATGTGTTGTACTAAAAAATACCTTTCACTGCAGACATGGTTTCTTCATGGTATCTTGACATGATCTGCAAGGATACGTAAAGAAAACTGGTTATGTCAGGTGGATTCAGTGTAACCTTGGCAAAAATACAGGAAAACAGCTATTTCAGTGTTGTGTACTATATAAATGATCAAACTTCTGAATCTGAATTTGACCATCAAACAAACTGTATATTGTATCTGAAATTTGACCTTAAACAGAAAAGCACAATTAATTGATCATAACAAACTTTTGCAAGAAAGTAATCAGCTGGAACATTTTTTAATGGAGCTCTGCTTATTGTGTATGCAGGTCTTTTGAAAATCTGACCCTGATGCAGTCCCTAAATAAGAAGAAATATGGAATCACAGTTTCAGATTCTGTTTGTAATTAGTCCAGTGTAAATCTGGAATAATCTGACTGTGGAGTGAGTCACTGGAGCTTGGCCAGACTCCAGTTTAACTGCTAGGGCACCACTGGCCTGTTGAGACAAATGGAAAGACTGCACATGTTTTAGAGCAAGCGCTACAAAGAATATGGACACGTACATTTGGAGCTGTTTCAAAAGGGGAAGGTTTCAAAAGGGCAGCAGCTGTTACCTGCCAATTATTATATATGTACAAGCTGGCAGCCATAAAGACTGATAGCAAAACCACTCTAACACCAAATGAAGTAAACGCACATGTGCCCATGCCCTATATTCACTGTAGTAGCTCATGCCCTGTAGGTAGCCCATAACAGTACCCGCTACATTCATCTTGAGCTGAGATGCAAATAAAAAACTCTCTCATGAATTCTAAGGTTTAAATAAGGTCCTCAGTTGTTTTCATGTAGTTTTGATGGTGGTTCTTTGTTACACAAAAGTGTCCCCTGCAACCATTTCTGTTTCTCCACTACAAGGTTGTCAGGGTTCGTCTCATGGGAAGTGTATACTGAATCCATTGAAATAACAAATGCAAGTTCCATCAGGCCCTGATGTCTCTTCTGCTGAGATTGTAATAAGTCCATGAGAACAGCAAAGATGTTATGTTATCTCCATATAAATGCGAGAGACTATCACTGTATATGAAATAAGAGGCACAGCCATTATCCATGAATTACTAAGATTACAGAATGTAATGACTTTAGAAGATCCTTATTCTGCAATTCATTGGCACAACAGGCATCCTTCGTTGTGTTTATTGTGGATCTGCAGAATAGCTACTGTGCATAAGCAGCATCTGTTTTATTAACGCTTTGACCGTAGAGACTATTTTATCCTGGGACAAAGTGCAATTGTTCAAACATCCATGTCCATTGTCTACGGACAAAGCTGAAAAAGGTTCACGAGTTAAGAAGTGTTAACACCTAGTTCTGGGACATTGTAAAGCACATCTGAATAACTGTCCCAAGACTGCGTCACTGAATCAACGGCAGAAAAGCAGAAAGCATTCAGCCACTCACTAAACCCTGATTTGAAGGGTGTGACATGTGTACACACTGCTCCTGGGACTTTTTTGGTCTGGGACAAATGCAACATCTGTTCCTAGCCAGAGGGTGTTTCAGCATTGGGGCAGCTCTCCCAGGGTGCTGCACCTTTCTGATGAGAGGGTGTGCAAATCTGCATTTTACTTCCCTGGTTGGAGTTTAACTGTTTGAATCTACTGACATGACATAACCAAACTCCATTAACCAGTCTGTGAGACAATTTGTAAATACCTTTTTAATTAACTTTCCTAGCTCCCACTTCACTTGCCAGCAGGGGTCTTGCTCTCTCTCTTCTATTCTGTTTAGATCCAAGTCTCCCATAAAAGTTCCCAGTTCTTCCCCACTGAGGCAGGCAATGCCGCTCTTGGAGTATGTGTCCCGGAGCTGCGTTAGAAGGGAGGACAACTGTTAATTCATGGAATAGTCTTCATAGGTCTGCATATGTGGTATGTCACTCAATTCCCTGTATTTAGAAACACCTTTTTTTGTTCTTAATGTACCAACATGGTATGGCAAGCAGTGACTTTATGAAGGAGGCTTAAAACTTCCTCCCAACTTTACATATTTATTTAGGTACAAGCAGATATTTGATGTCCAAGAATACACTTACATTGTTATCTTTCTGGTCATAAATTGGATGTGAAGGGCTCAATGGAGTAAACTTTATGCAAATGCAATCTCAAATCACTCAAGCTGTTAATTATTTTAGCTGCTCCAATCCTGTGTTAAAATGTATTTACTTTACTCAAGGGATCTTTCTGTGCAGGCTTTTAAAGATGAACCCAAACAACAGGCTCTAAACCACTTCGGTCCTCTCCACTCAACCCTGCAACAGGCAGCTGGGTCTCTCCTAGCCTCTATGAGGGAATGAAATCAGGACAACACATTCAACCCCTTTCCTTCTGAGGAAGCTGAACCTCAGCTGACACATTCAACCCCTTTCCTTCTGAAGAAGCTGTAATCAGTAGACTCTGATTACAGGTTTGAACATGGTGATCTCTAGCTACAGGGAGACAATTCTACCTTGTGATGCATAGAAGAAAGGGGGAAATTGTGCCCCCCTCACTGAAGACAGTGCCAAAATCCCCATCGAGTACAATGGGAAGAGTTTAGAATAGCAAAGAGCATTGCCAACAGCTCTGCTCCAGCTCGGGGGGTTAGGAGATGATCGAAACTCAAGCTGGCGCTGTTGCTTAATATAAGAACACATCTTCTAAAATAAATGCCAACAAATTGTACACTGAACTGAGTGATCCTGCTTCCACAACTCAGTGATACTGCATCAACCATGCCTGAGGAGGCAAGGGGTGGTGGGGGTAAGACCTATTATATATTTCCCAAGCTCAGAGAAAGCAGTCATCAACAGTCGTTTAAATTCAACTGCTTTCTATAAAAGTTCTTCCTTTTTTTGACGGCTCACACTACTTAGCATGTAAGTGGCTCCTGGAGCCTGGGAAATTCTAGCACGGGTCATGCTCTTCCCCCACCCTCATTGCTTTCCTGTCAGGCTGGAAACAAAGGAGAGGAGTGATAGATTCTCTACTGGGGCAGGATGCAGGCAATTCACCCCTTCCACACTGCAAATCTCCTCTTAAACAGGAAACCTCAGACTTGGACAGCGACTCTAGCCTTTCCTCATGTTTATAAACAGTCTGGTATTCTAGGATCGCTGCTGCAAAAGGCCACAGCTGGAAAGGAGGCCATTGCAGCCTTCTGGATCATTGCCACAGACTGCAGGGGGGCGTTTAATGACGTGGTTTGGGGAATTTACCTTAACTTGATGGCAATATGCTACATGGTTATATGCACCTTTAAAGCAAACCTTTACTACAGCTTTGTACTGATTTAACTATACTGGTTTCTAAAACAATGTGGTTAAATTGGGTCAAAAACTGTAGAGCACCCTTTACTATCCATTTTCTGACCAGGTTTAGAGGGCAGTTGTAAGGTAGTCCATAGTTTTCTCTTTATGCTGGATGGAAAAGATACTGCTTCTTTTACCTCTTGCTATAACCACCTCTACTAGCATTGCCATAACATCTCCCAGCCCTCAATGGATTACACCTCGTACCATTCAGGAAGAGAAGTAATATTAGCCCTGTTTTACAGATATAAAAAGTCCCTCAGTTTCCCTAAGTGGAAAGAAGTCTGTCTTCCCCAGTGCTTCCCTCCCAGGTTGCATCCTGTATGTGCACTGAACTTTAACTGCTCTAAAATAACTGTATATCAGACAAGACCTGTACATCGTGTGTCTGCTCCACTTTTTCTGCAGGGCAGATTGAGAAGACTGGGGCATAAAAGTCAAATGTCCACACCATAATGCACAGCCACCTAGACTACTTCTTTGCCCCACCAAGTGTTGTCTCCCAAGTGACTGGATGTACCCTGCACACCACCTCGGGATGAGTAGTTCTGCAATAACAAGTAATTCCAGTAAGTATTACTGGAAATGATTTACCCAGCCTAGTAAAACAGACACTAAGGTTAAAGGTTAAAAGTACGGCTAAAGGTTAAAAATAAGGAGAAAAGGCAGTTAGGGAATCACTGGAACGCAAGGGCTATAAACACAGGACTTTGAACAGGGTAAGCAAGAGGTGGAAATCTCTGGTGTACCTGTTTCACCAAATAACTCTCTTGGATCCCTCATTTCACCAACCCTGGAGTGACCAGCAACCAGTGCGCAGACGGGGCACGCAAAACACCCCTGCACATGGTTTCGCAACAACACCGCCCCGCTCTAGTCCCCTGGAAACAAGCTGCAACCCCAGAGTTTTGCAGCTGAACAAAGAAAGGCCAGCGCCAGCGGCTCTGCCTGTGCAGCCTCCTGCCCGATGCAACCGGCGCACGGGGCATGCGCGGGAGCTACTGACCTGCTTCAGCTCGTTGGTGAAGTAGAGGAAAGTCACCGCCACGCAGATGGACTGCAGCAGCACGGCGGAGATGAGCACGAGCCCGCAGGTCTGCCCGGTGCTGGGGCCGGCCCTGGGGAGCATCATGGCTTGGCCCCGCAAACGCGCGTGAGAGGACGCGGAGCCGGGCCGGGCCGGGCCGGGCCGCGAGCCCTGCTTCCCTGGCTGCACGGGGCCGTGTGCTGCAGACACACAACAACAGCCGCGTTTCCTCCCCGGGGCTGGTCGTGGGCGGTGGCAGAGATCAGCCGGCCCCATGCGCCGCGGTTCCTCCTCCTCCTCCTCCTCCCGAAACACAGAGCCGGAGTTTCCTTCGCCCGTTTTGCACCTGGCTCCCCGGGTCTGACGGGGTCTCCGCCCAGGGGCTCACGGGGTGCGTGGGAAAGCCAGGACCTGAGGCTCCTGGGCTGGAAGGTGAAAGAGATGAAGTGGGGAGGCTTTCTGTGGGCTGCAAGTATCTGAAGCCCCACACTGAAGAGGATGCTTGCCCTGGTTTCTGGGGGCATGTAAATCCCAAGAGCTCTGGGCTTGGGTCTGCAGTAGGATGCCTGCTGGTGGATTTGGGGGTATCTGGAGGCCTAGGGTGAGAGCTGGGGGCAGAGGGTGCTCACAAGTTGTAGCGCCATACAGGTCTCCCTCGCTTTATGCTGTACACACGTTCCTGGAAAACCGTGTGTAACTCGAATTCGCATAAAGGCACCCCACTTTCCAATGTAACAAATAGGGATACGTTCCAAGACTGCAACTGTACTGACCCCCAGACCCATTTCTACTACTTCTACAAGACAATGTTGGTACCCACCAACAGCAGATGGTGCACACAAGCACATAACAGGGATGGCAACCACAGAAATACGTTGCAGGTCCACATAGGAGACTATATTTTGGTGCACGTCACTCCCACAATGCACTGCACAAAGCAGCTGACTGCGAGCTTCCACCACACCGGTCACATAAGAGTGAATTTACCTCGCCTGTAACAAGTTTTGGCTATAAAAAGGGTCATTGCATAAGAGCAAATTTGCACATACAGAGCCCGCATAAAGCAAGGGCAACCTGTACATGGTATTTAGGACGACTGAGTTCTGCCTGCTCAATCAGTACGGGTTTCGGAACGATTGAGTTCTGCTCAGTTGATATGATTTGGCTGATTTGACCTGGAATACACAATATATTAATTAAAAAAAAAATTACTGAGAGGGTCCTTCATGGACTGGGAGCAGCAGTGCTTCCCACAGGCTCCCTGCTGCCCCCAGCCTTTGCTGTGCAGTTCAGGCTTGGAGATGTTGCTGGGGCCAGAGAGGGTATGGAAGAGGATGGGCGTCCTTCACGGATCCTTCCTGCCTTCAGCCTGCTCTGTGCATCATTGATGACTTAGGTTTGTTCCCCTTCCTCAGCTCATGCAAAAATAGATGGGTGTTTTTCCTCACTCCTTTTTGTGGCCCAAGAGTGAGAGGTAACAAAATGATGTTACAGTACACAATTAGATGCATTAGAGGAGCTTCAGAACTTGAAAGAATAGACTAGAATGGCAATTAGATGCTGAAGTCCCCTTAGATGACTACTAGGTGAAACAAAACCTGGCTCCATGTGCCTGGATCCACGGGATTCGCCTGAGCTTAAGAAAGTTAGACTGTCTGTGCAAAATGATCTGTGGGCGACTCATGACCTGACATAGAGAGAGCTTCTAGGTCAGGGGTGGGCAATGATTTTGGGCAGAGGGCCGCTTACTGAGTTTTGTCAAGCCATCAAGGGCTGCATGACAGGCAGCCCAGGGCAGATAAATATTAATTTTCTAAATTTTTTAGAGGCCCCATGGGCTGGATAGAATGGCCCCTGGGCCACATTTTGCCCACCCCTGTTCTAGGTATTTAGCTGGGTCTTGCTCTTCTGTCTACTTTACAGTTAACGCCGGTGGTTCTCACCACATTGCTGGTGGATTGAGATGAGCAAACAGATGAACACTGGTTCCCTCCAAATTCAGCATTGATAGTCCCATGGAGTCCCAGTCAGCCTCACAAATCATAGAACCATAAATGTAGGGTGGGAAGGGACCTCAGGGTCACATCTAGTCCAACCCCTGCACAAGGCAGGGCCAGCCCTAACTAGATCATCCCAGCCAAGGCTTTGTCTACCTAGGTCTTAACTCCTAAAGATGGAGAGTCCATAACCTCTCAGGGTAGCCTGTTTCAGTGCTTTACTGCCTTCCTAGTGAGAAAGTTTTATCTAAACCTAAACTTCCCTTGCTGCAACTTGACACCCTTGCTTCTTGTTCTGTCATCTGCCACCAGTGAGAACACTCTGGCTCCATCCTTTTTGTAACCATCAAAAATACAGTTTTGAATTTGCTTATTTGTTGTTTGTTTTTTTGAGGCTTTCCTATTTAAACTCTAAAACCTGCTTAATTTCTTCTGGTTATATGGATGACTGTGAGTGACTTAAATGTCTTTGCAGATGGTACTAGCATAGATTTACTGACAATGTATCCAGAAAAGGTAGATGGTTCAAATCCAGCAATAAGGCTTGAATTTACTTGTACACTGATACAAGGCCCTTTTCCTCTCTGTGCACAGACAGAAGAGCACCTCCTTGCTGTAACTCATGGCGCTTTGCAGGAAATGCCATGAGTTATAGCAGTCTTTCGGACCCAACAGATGTTCGCTGTTGGCTCCCGGGGTTAGAGGACTGAGCTGCAGTTTGGAGCAGCTGCAAGTGCAGCCCCTCTCCCCTAACTCTGCCCTCTCACCTCCCAGCCCCGGTGCTGTCTTCAGAAGGGGAAGGTATGTTAGTTTCAAAAGATTAAGGAGTTAAGCTTATAGAGCGGTAAAGCTTGTTAATTCAGAGGCAAATACCCTGCCTCAGTTTTGCTGTTCCCTCCTGCAATCCCTGGACAAATGCAACAACTTACATATAACACTCTTCAAGGTATCCACACATCTTTCCCCTTTACGTGTAACGTATCCGCATATATTACTAACATTGGCAGTTCAGTCCAACCCATAGTTAAAGCACATTTTAAGAGGTCTGTATTAATTTTTGTGTTGGCTTTTTAGCGCTAAGTGATCTGATCAGTTTCTCTGCATTCTCAATCCTTATTGGTTCAGCTCTTGTCTGGTTTCCTTCTTCAGTTTTGTCCATTTCTGTGTCATTTTCAATCTCCGGTCTCATTTCTTGTTGCTTTGATGTTAGCTCTGTTTCCTTTGGTGAATCTCTTGATGCTTCTGCATGTGTGGTCTGTTCCTTCTTAACACCTGTCCTTCTGGTATGATTGCTTTATAGGATCTGGGAGTTACTAGATGGGTAACTAGTGCTTTTTGTCTCCTTGTTCATCCATCTGAAATAAGCACCATATCTTTGTTGTGCAGTTATGGAAACTCCCTGGAACCCCTGTCATAGTACCATTTTGTTTGAGTTGGTTGATTTTTTTAAATGTTTTCATATCTTGCCTTTTATTCTGATGAGCATCACCCACAAGATTTGGCAGCCTAGTTTTGAGTTTCTTGTTAAACAGCATTTCTGCTGGGGACAATCCATATTTCATGGGTGTTGCTCTATAATTTAAGATTGACAGGTAAACATCAGTGTGTGGCTATGTAGCTTTTTTCAACAATTTCTTCACTATTTGTACTCCATTTGCCACAAGACCATTGGATTCAGGACTTGAAGCGTTATGACAGAATCCATATTTGTTTGCAAACTCTTTAAACTCAAGGCAGTTGAACTGAGGTCCATTGTCTGTTCTCACAATTTGTGGAATCCCAGGTCTAGCAAAAATTGATTTGATGCGAGTTATGATACTGTTTGCTGTTGTGCTTTTGAGCAATGCAATTTCAGGATAGTGAGAATAAGAATCCAGCACTAATACATATTTTTTTCTTGCATGCATGAATAAGTCAATGCCTGACTGAAACCAGGGGCCATGTTGTCATGGGCTCCCCCATGACAATCATGGGCTCTTTTCTTTGCACTGATCTGTACTTTAGGCACGTTATACAAGCCTTTACAGCATCATCTATGTCATTATTTATGTTGGGCCAACATAGAGCATCCCTTGCTTTCCTTTTGCATTGTCCAATGCCTAGAAGCCTCTCATGTATTCTGTTTAACGTGTCTTTCTTTAGCACTGCTAGAACAAGTCGTGAGCCTTTGAACAAAATGCCATCCAGTACTGATAGCTCTTTCTTTAACTGAGAGTAGGGGCTACGTATATGTTTTCCAGACCAACCAGCACAAATAGGTATCACTTTTTGCAATGTGGTGTCCTGAACAGTAGCTTCTGCAATAAGTGCCCACATTTTATCTGTTATAGGACTCCCTCTTTTAATTAAATGAACATGTACTATCTATCTCTGAGTCTGGAATTCTGTCATTTTCCATTGTGTCATATGCTGTGGACAACATATCTGCAACAAGTAGATGTGCTCCTGGCATGTACAGTATGTCTAGAGCATACATTTGCAGTTGAAAGAAGTCTCTGTAATGTGGGTGACATGTCTGAGAACCCTTTCTTAGCCATAGTTACCAAAGGTTTGACCAGTTTCAGCTATCACAGGCTTTCTGTATATGAATATATGACAGTTCTTACCGTCACATACCAGGGCTAAACTTTCTTTCTCAATTTGTGCATATAGACTCTCTGACTTAGAGAGTGCCCTAGATACATATGCTACTGGTCTCCAGCTACCCTATGTTTTTGAAGCAAAGCTACTCCAATGCCTTCTTTAGAAGTGTCTGTTGACAATTTAATGGGTCTTTTAGGGTCATAGTATTTTAGTACTGGAGCTTTCATTATTTTTTCCTTCAAGTTTGTCAATTCAGCTTCATGTTCATGTTCCCATATCCACTGAGCATTCTTTTGTATCAGTGATCTACGGTGTCTGGTCTGCTCTGCTAAGTTAGGTAGATATTTTCCTACAAAATTGATCATTCCCAGTAATCTTTGCACTCCTTCCTTATCTCTAGGGGGTGGCATGTTTATAATGGCTTTAACCCTTGCAGGATTAATTTTCACCCCTTTCTCAGAGAGCTTTTCATACAAGTGTAAAATTATATGTGTTTTAATATATTCCATAGCCACATGGGGTAGTAATATGATTCCTGAGCAAAAGCCCTTCATGTGGCAGTGAACCATTTATGCATCTGGCTCCGGGTAGATTTGTGTAAGTCCAAGACCTATGTTGCACAGACGGGTTAACATATCCCTGAAAGTGAGAATATGATCTCTTCCGTGTGACTTTTCAGTTAGCAAACTGAATGTAAAGTTCGAATTTCCTTCTGGGTAGCTGAGTTCCAGCCAAACGAGCTGCTGGAGTTTCCACTAGAGTTTATCTATGTTGCTGCATTTCTTTACATCATTTCAAAACGAAACCTTCCAAACACATGAGAAACCAATAAGAAAGTGTGTGCCTAACTCTGCCTGGCATACTAGGTTAGCAAGAAAAGCGGTATCAGAAACACTTTGTCAGCGTGGTAGTTAAAAACAGGAAGCAGAGGTACAATGGGCTTGTTAATAGATGGGCCAAGGGGAAGAGTCTGCATGCTGAAAACTGTAGTGTCCGAATTCTTATTCCACTCATGCTGTTTAAAACAATCCATCCCATTTCCAGAAAAATGAAACTATTGTCCAGATAAAGTAGAAACCAAAGTGAAACTTAATCCAGTGCAAACAAAAGCTTCGAGTCATTTGTTCCTAGAATGGGGATTTCTTTTTCATCTTTTCTTTTAGGCCTCTGTACTATCCCCACAGACTTTTCCTGTCGAGCTTGTAAAAGGATCTACTCCTATGAATACCTAGGCTTGTGAGTGTTTGTAAGAAAGATGCTTAGATCAGTAAGTAGGGACCATATCCGTTTATTGCTTTTCTTCTGTAAAGCTCCAGGCACACTTAATTAAAAAAGAATGAAAGAATAACATCCCATTTCAGCTTTTTAAGATCAAATTAATAAAGTTCAGGTTAAATATAGGGTAAGTTGTAAACGGTACTCACCTGTGCCCTCCAAAAATCCTGATTGTGCCACATTTTATTTTGGATTTCCAAATATACTAACATCTTCCTAAAAAAAAAAAAATCCATATTTTTGTGAGTTTTCACACCAGGGTTTTAATGTGTTTGATGTTTACATTTCTGAAATTAAAAATGTATTTCTGGTAGAAATCAGTTCAGCGTTTTGTAGGTTCTAGAGATTATAAATACATTAAGGGAGGTTCACACGATAAAATGTGTTGAGGAAGTTCACATCTGGAAGGAAGGTTGAAAGTTTGCTTGCTTGTTTGTTTTTTTTTTAAAAAGAGTGCTTTTGCTTAGTGCTGGGCCTGAAGTAGCTCACCAGCAAAACCAATGATCACCTGCCATCTGGCTGACAAGCAATCCCATCCTCATCCCCTTAACATCTAATCATTGACCCATGCACAGGAAAAATGCTGCACCCTGTCCCATGCAAGACAATAGCAGAATACCAGGTACACAAGAACTAGATTTCTCAGAATACCAAAAAACAGAGCTGCATCTCCACTAGCAATCAGTAGGTTTGGCCCAGAAATACAGTCAGTAGAAATATGCAATGATATGTATGTTTCTGAAAAACAAATGAAAGCAACAGGAGTCTATAACAGAGTGCTCAGACCTTTTAAATGAGGACGAAGTTTGGGTGGTTAGCTAATCAGGGCATAGTATCTCTCCATCAGGGAAAAGCCCAGAAAGGAGAACAGAAAGTGGTGAACTGGAGGAAGGAGGAGTTTGTGGTCAGGAGGTGGACTGGAACCCATATGAACTCTACTAGGAAGAGACCAGAGCTAAACGATCCTTCCTAACACCCAGAAAAGGGCTAAAACAGGGGCAGGCAATTATTTTGGGTGGAGGGCCGCTTACTGAGTTTTGGCAAGCCATCGAGGGCTGCATGACAGGCAGCCAGAGGCAGATAAATAGTAATTTTCTAAAATTTTTAGGGGCCCCTCAGGCCAGATAGAATGGCTTGGTGGGCTGCATCTTGCCCACAGGCCACATTTCGCCCACCCCTGGGCTAAAAGTTTTGTTTTGCTCATTTATTTGTTTGGCACAAGGACTATTTTTTGTGTTAAGAGGGGCTCTCTAGGGAACAAAGCCAGCCCAAAAGACAGGAGGCACACCAACCTGCTTACAGTGCCCCTGAAAAACTCCTTAGCTATATTTCCTCACTGAGCCTAATTATGGCAAAATGGTTCATCCATGTACATTTTCAAGACAATGAAAAATATGAAGGCTCATGTCTAACACTTGGGCTGCTGTTCAAGAAGAGGAACATGTATTATTCTTATTATTTATATCTGTTCTGTAATAGGGCCTAAGAGGTCACAGCCTGGACCAAGATCTTTTGTGCTAGGGACTGAACCCTAACCCTAACCCTGCTTCCGAAGAATTGATGACCAGCCATTGTAGGGTAAGTGTAGGGCAGAGGTTCCCAACCACCAGGCCATGGCGTGGTACCAGGCCATGAAGGTTATCAGGCCACCAGCAGTCACGTGCGGGGTTAAAGCTGGGCAGCAGGGCAGCCCCGGGAGGGAGGCAGCCAACTCCATGCACCCTGTCCCACTCCCACTGCCATGGTTGCACCCAGCGAGGCGCTGCCCGCACAGCAGGTACTGGGGCCATGTTGGGCTGGGCAGGATCCTCCATCCCTGCCCGCAGCTGGGAGTGGGGGATGCAGGCAAGGAAATGCCTGGGGTGAAGGGCAGGGAGGTGGGTCTGCTGCTTGCTCCTAGGGAAGGCAATAGAGCCCCTTCTTCCTGAGCAGCCTCAGCTGGCTCCCCTTGAGCCACCACCTGCACACTCTCCTTCCCTGCAGGGTCCCCCAGTGCCTGCAGCTATGGTGCCCCAACCCAATCTGATCCTTGCAATCCCCCCACATAAAAAATTAAAATGTGAACATGTAAATTTAAATGTAAATATATAAATTAAGTTTAAATATGTTTGCCGGTCTGCTGTATAAAAAAGGTTGGGAACCACTGGTGTAGGGGAAAGCTGTTTGCACTCTCCCTGGAGAGAGATCCCAACCTGGTCCTTTCCAAGTGTCTTAGACAAGGGTCAGAGAGTTTGATATGGTGTTTTGATGTTTTTTAAACCACTGCAATTTTGTGAGAGTTATTCTAAGTTTATGTTGGTGTGAAAGCAGAGTGAGTACAACAACCTTTTCACTTACTGAGTCATATAAGTAATAGCAATGCCACAACTTTGGATGGATGAATGAATCTTCAGATGGGGCATGTCTGCCTTTTAATGCCCCAGGGGAAGATTTGATAAATAGTGCAGAGAGTAATGTGTATGCATTTTATGTACACACAAATTCACATCCCACCAGTCTGCAGTCATATTCAAACTTTTGCCTCCAATCTTTCTTAGATGTGATAAAATATTGAACTATTTTCATGTTTGGACATTGGGCATATTTAGATCTTTGCAATTTATTCAAAATATTTGTGGCTTCTTTTAATAATATATTCTTTAAGTAGTGCCTTGCATCTTGAAGAGAATGGTACTTTATTAGCTAGATGCATATATTGCTTCACCCAACATTTGAAGGCAGCCAGCTCCTGGGTAGAAGACAGTAGCTGTCCAAAGAGTCTGCAGCAAAACAATACAATTTTGTAGGACAGAAAATGAAAGGAAATTGTAGTATCCAATTCAGAGTACTAGAGGAATATATGTAGGAAAGCAGAATGAACTTGTGGTGGATAGTAATTTCTTTCAAGGACCTGACCAGTATATTAGTGCTAACTTTCTCGATGCTTGTAAAGTATCATGGAATCTTTTACTACAAAGGACTAAGACTGATGTTTTTGTGATTCATTTCCAGAAGCACAAAGGAAAGTTCATCAACAGAATCCCAAGTTTTCCTTTGACACCTAACAAAACCCCCTTCAGATGTAGCACCTGGGCTGCAGTTTCATGTGTTACTATTAAAATTCCTCTGAGATTCACATCTGAAATCAGATTCTTCCTTGATATTGCTGGGTGCTGTAGGGAGACATGTGCTGGCACAGCGCATGGACTGAATTGAATGAATCAGTGCATCTGGGCTTGTTAAACATGCCTCGGTTGCAAAGTTCTTGTAATGCTTTTGCCTTATGCTGTTTAATCATTTTGAATTACGGTCAGCAGAACTGGTCAGAACTTAGAACATTGGTTCCACCGGAATTCTGACATTTCACAATTTCCTTTTTGCTTCACGGTGACTAAAAGGCAGATTTTTCCCAAGAAGCAATACTTTCACCAAAAATCAATGCATTAGACATTGCAAAGCAACCTTGTCAAATGGTTATTGCGAACACGATATCATTTTGCTAATATGATATAGCATAACCAAACCATCAAAGTCAGAAAACAGTGCATCAGGATTATCAAAATGAAGCATTTTGGTCTTATCCAAGCAAAATGTTTTAATAATTTACCACGGAAAATGTCAGCCAAAACAATATGTTTATTAAATAATTCAGTTTAATTAAATGATCATTTTCCAATATTCCAGGAGCGCACTACATATGGCTTTTAGGCCACATGCTGCAATCCCAGTAGCCCGCCAGAAGTCTTTATGAAACCACTTAATTTGAGAATTAAGTGGATTTGAGAAGCAGAACAGCAAGTCCAGTGCCCTCACTGCATAACGATTCGATGTGCAGTCCAATTTCCTGCCTGCAAATGTGCTGAAGGCTGACATCTGGTCAGAGTGGATTCCACGCACGGCAGCCCTGTGCTGGAAAGTGCACCTTGCAAATGGCCCTCAGTACAATGTGCACCGTGCAATATTGCTTGCACTATGCCACTGGTAAATTTTCAGGCAGGTCCATCAACTTTCACTAGGGATTAATTTAGGGAAGGGCAGTCATAAAGTAGGCAAATGAGGGTACAAGTGTGGATGGGCTAAATCTTTAAGACTTTATTCAACTGATGCTCACTTTTTATTCAGTTTATTCTTATAAGCTAGTTCAGATTCAGATAAAATCTTCAGGATCTGGCCTGCTATTTTGTGATTCTTCAATGGGGGTTTCTCATACTGGAGTAGACCATTGGGTCATCAAGTCTGGCATCCAGAAGTGACTTGAATTTGAGAATCTGGTTTATCTCTTGCCTTGAAGATTATGGAGTCATCCTGAGTGGGAGAGTCACCCGCCAGGAGGCTGGCAGTTCACGTCCACAGGAAGGAATTAAGGATGTGTAAGGCAGCTGTGAATCACAGCTTGGGTGCTTCTGAGGAAGGTGGAGGGAAATCCATAATGCATCTAGCTGCCTCTGTAGCATTTTACAAGGAGGAAAAGTCCTGCTTGATGTACAATAGTACCCTGGTAAGCAATCTGCTTATTCCCTGAAGCATGAAATTTGATTATCTTTATCTTAGATGAGAGACTTTGCCCTCCATGGAAAATGAAACAGATAAATTTTGCTCCTCAGGGAGCCAGATATGCAAGCAGAGAAATGTGAATGGTTTCAGCAGCTTCTTCCTTCTGAAGCATCTGTCATGTACCTGGCTGTCTTAGCCTAGGATATAGCCTCTACCTAAGACAGATTGAAAAGCACTATGCAAACTGACACTTAGGGAGTGATTGCTTCTGCCTCCCTGAGGGAAGCTGCCATTCACACGCTGATGTCTTAACAATATTTCAACATGCAGCTCCCTCAGAAATAGCCAAGCCCTGCATCCCAGAGTAATTGGGCACAGAAAGCAGTTGGGGACTATTCATCACCCATTGACATGAAAACTCTCTTCCATTCCCAGGAGTAACAAGGGAGGGGCAACCTCTTACCAGACATACATCCATTGAGTTTATTTGCTTGAAATGTGGATAGTTTGTCACTGAAAAGATAGGGCTTGTCTGTATATAGCTAGATTCTCAGCTGTGCCTGGTGGAAGCTAATTTTTCCTGCAGTCTCAGTTAGGCTTGGATGACACCATTTTTTGTTTGGGTTTTGTTTTTTCTTTATTAGTGTCAGTTTGGGATGTGATTTTCTTGAAATAATTAAGAGTGCAAAATGTAATGAAGATGCAGGTGTAAAGATGCCTACTACCTACATAGCTTATTCTCTTCCTATTTGGGAATACCTCTGTGAGCGTAAGAACTTTTTGTATCAATATAACTTCATCAGCAGTAGGGGAGAATGTCATCACTTGGTCATCTTATTGTATGTAATAATATGCAATGGATGTACACACATGCATATCCGTGTGTGTGTGTGTGTGTGTGTGTGTGTGTGTGTGTGTGTGTGTGTGTGTGTGTGTG